CAGTATAGTAAACCACGTGATTGTCAGATTCAAAATGGCCAATACCAGTTCATTTTAGCTCACTAATGGCTAGGATATCGATGTTTATGCCTTCCATTTCATTTTTTATAATTTCCAATTTTCCTAGAATCATACTTTATACATTCCATGTTCTGATCATTAATGTATGTTTTCAACTGTTTCTCTTCATTTTGAGTTGTGCCCTATCAGAAAATGAAGGTCCTGAAGGTTTTACTTCATTCTTGTCATCAACGGCAACTCTGCTTTGAGGAGGCAGCTCTTCCCCAGTCGTATTTTGAGTGCCTTCCAAACTGAGGGGCTTATTTTCAGCACTATGTCTGACAATATTCTGGTGCTTTCAATCATGTTTAAATATTCAATATTCTGATGCTGATAGTATTCCACCACTATTCATAATGGTGACCCTTCTGGCTTTAAAATACCTGTGGAATAGCATCCAGAAGCACAACAACATGTAAGCCACCACAGTGCGACAAACTGACCAGTGAGTAGTGGCCTCCAACCTTGATGCCACGTTTTGCTTCATAATTCAGATTCTTGAATTATTTCATCAGTATACAGATTGAATAAGTATGGTGAACAAATACAACCCTGGCACACAAGTTTCTAAATTTTAAACCATTCAGTGCCCCCTTTTTCTGTTTGAACAACTGCCTCTTGGGCTATGTACAGGTTTCTCATGAGCACTATATCTAACAATATTGTGGTACTGTTTATCATGCTTCAATAGTCAATATTACGGTATTATCTGACAATGTTTCACTGTTGTTCATAAGGTTTCCAGTGGCTATGTATTCGGAAGCAGTCCATCTCACCTTCTTCCTCATCTGTCTTAGTCTGGAAACTCATTTGAAACCTGCTGGCATTGAAACTACTAGTGGCATAGATCCCAGAATCACAGTAGCACTCAAGCCACCGCAGTACAACAAACTGACGGACAAATGGTGGTTCTAACAGTTTAGGAGACTCAAAGCCCAAAATCAGAATTCTGGGTATTGGGAAAGGCTTTCTCTTTGTCAACTCTGGTGAAAGTTTCTTGTCTCCTTTCAGTATCTGTAGATCCAGTATTCCTTAGAGATCTCCCTACATCCTGGCATCAGTTTTCCTTTGACCCAATAACTTCAAAATGCAGGGACTCCAGATCCAAAGAATATACTCCACTCCTAGATTTTCTGTCTTGGTGGTCTTAGGTCCCTCTTTCTATGTTGAACTCAATCTCTTGCATGATAAAATATGTTGCCTGCCACACCCTGAGAAATTTCCAGCAATTTTTTTTTTAATCTAAAAAAATTTCCTGTAAATATCAGGATAGTGTTGGGATTAAGGATGGTGTTTCCCACCCTTGGGAACACGGTATGACACTTTAGGATAAGCACTGAACCACTCCAACTGCAAGGTCAGCACCTCAAACCCACCAGTTGCTTCTTGGAAACTATACAGGGTTTCTATGAACTGGAACCAACTCACGGCACTTAACAACAACATCCCACCCTTAATCATACGATTGGTTTATCACATCAAATCACGGCACAGGCAATGCCTACATCTCAACTGGCAGACCACAAAGAATCGTGGCCCAGTTAAGCTGACACAAAACCTTGACTATTACACAGATGAAGCGAAACTGGAACAGATGTGATTTATTAAAATTTGGAACACCAACCAAATTGTAAAATTGCAGGTCAAAGCCCTGGAATGGAGAGTTGGAAGAGGAGTAGTGACTCCTTTCAGAGACTGATGTGTGATATTGAATTATTACCAAGACCTGGTAGGTTTTGTAGGATAAGCACTGGACTGCTAGCCCAAAGGTCATCAAGTCATCAGTTCAAACCCACCAGCTGCTCCTAGGAAACTGTACAAAGAGTTTCTGTGAGTCAGAACACACTCAACAGCACTTAGCAACCAATGGAGAGTGACACACTTTCAGAGTGGTGAGTTGGCCCCATCTCTGAGCCGAGACCATTTCCATCAGGGTTTCAACAGGTAATTTTCCCTATGCTGGTTAGCATTTATTCACAATTCAAAACTTCAGATCTGTTCAGGTGTCATTTCATCAGCCATAAGTGAACTGGGCTGAACTGTTTCAAAGTCCTGGCAGGGACTTTGCCTGGTTTGACTCATCACTGGCAGGTGACTGCAAGGAAATGGCACACACCTATTCAGTGCATGGTTACTGAATGAATAAATAAGATAGTGGAGTTCTGTTTATATTGAAGAGTTCCTGTGTGGCACAAAGAGTTAAGTGCTCAGCTACTAATTAAAATGTTATAATTCAAACCTAACCAGGAGTGCCTTGGAAGAAAGGTCTGGTAAACTACTTCTAAAACACCAGCTACTGAAACTCCTGTGGAGTACAGTTCTAGTCAGACACATGGGGTCATCAAGAATCTGAATCACAGACTCCACAGCAATGAGTTTTGTTTTCCGTTTTTTGTTGTTGTTTGAGTTCTGTTGTTGTTAGCTACAGTCAAATCAGATCCTAATTCATGACAACCCATGCATACTGGGACAAAAAACTATGCAGTCCTGTGCCATTCCCATGATTGGCTGCAGATCAGATGATTGTAATCCATAGAGATTTCATTGGCTGATTTTTTTTGGAAGTAGATTTCCAGGTCTTTCTTCTCAATCTGTCTTAGTCTGAATGCTGCACTGAAAAATTGCAGAAATATAGCAGCATACATGTCTCCCCTGACAGATGGGTGGTGGTTGCAAATGAGATGCATTGGCCGGGAATGAACCAGGCTAGGAAAGAATTTTACCACTGATTCAAAATATTCTCAATTATGATCTGATCTAGACCATAGACTGACTTCTACTCATATTATTCATGATGATTTAATCAATGATTTAAAAAAAATCTTATCCCAAAGGAGTTTACATTCTCAAGAGAGTCTAATAGAAGGTGGTAAGAGGCATGGAGATAAAAAAAAATAAATAAAGAGTAGGAAGGAGTTGTGCACAGAGGCATTGCAGGGGGGTTGGCTGCTCATGCTAGCAAAGAGGGTGGTCAAAGCCAGGCTCCCTGAGAAGGTTCTATATGAACATGAAGGAAGGGTGGAGACAGTATGTGGATGTCAGCAGGAAGAACTTTTCTGCCAGAGGAAACAGTACAGTAAAGGTGTGCATATCGACATTCAAAGCTGAATTCACAAATGGAGGTTACCCTACCCTGATCCAAGATGAAACATCTGAGTAGCTCATTATCCCAGAACTGACCTCCAACTCTCTGAAGATTCTCCAATTACCTTACATTACTCTACCTCCTGAAACAGGCATCTCCAGGCCAAACAAAGCCATCCCTGCCCTCAAAGCAGTGCTTAAAACTCAACTTCAGCAGAAAAAAAAAAAAAAAAAAAGATGTCTCAGAAAAAAATGGCAGACCTGGAGTTCATTAGCTTCCTGCTTAAACCCAGAAGAGTTGTTTGAAACCAGCAACTGTGGATGAAACAGGTCCCTAAGCTGCCAAGTCCCTAAATGTCTGTTGAGTGGTTTGTTAAGCCTGCAATAAGTCTGTGAGAGGCTGTTTTGTTCTTCACTCAACAAATGTCTAATAAGAGCCTATAAAAGGTTTGGTACTCTACTATAAAGGAGCAGCTGCCAAACATCTTTGATCACATATAACATTTTAACACAACATCCTGGATCTCATGGACTTAAATTATAAAATACATCCAAAACCAAATTTTCACAAAATAGCAACACATTCTTACATTTCCTATTTTATTCTATTCAATTTTATTTGTTTAATGCTGTAAGGTCAGAGGTTTATGAAAAATGTCTAAGCATCCAAAATAGAGTAATATATACATAAAGTGTTCCTGGGTGGTGCATATGGATAAGCGCTTAGTTACTAACTGAAAGACTGATGGTTCAAATGCAACCAACAGGTGCCTCAGATGAAGGGCCTTGTGATCTACTTTTGCAAAAACTTTTGCTTCACTGAAAGTCCTGTGGAGCACCATTCTACTCTGACACACATGGGGTTGTTATGAGTTGAAGTTAACTCAATGACAACTGGTTTGGGCGTAGTGGATACTTGGTGGTAGAATTATCATCACCCATGAGGGAGACCATGATTCAGTTCTAGCCAATGCACCCCATGGGCAGCCGCCACTCATCAGTCAGTGGAGGCTTTCGAGCTGCTCTGCTGCTGAACAGCTTTCAGTGGCCCTTGCAGACCAAGACAGACTAGAAAGAAAGGTCGGGTTATCTGCTTCTGAAATCAGTCACTAGCAACCATATGCTGCACAGTTCTACTCAGCACAAGTGACAGTCAGCTCCATGGCAATTGGTTTGGTTTTGGTTTGATATATAAAGCACAGTCGGATGTCAGGAAAAGGGTCATGGTGGGAGGTTGGCCCAGGATCAGGCAGTGTTTCATTCTGCTGTGCATAAGGTCACTATTAGTCGGTACTCGATGGCACCTAACAACAACAACAACTAAAAAGGAGCACAGTGGACTTCTGAGGGTGTTTATTGAATGTTCTGAATCTCAGTGTTGATTACACAAATATGTTCAGTTTGTGCAAATTCATCAAGTCGTACATTTAAGACATACATACATTTCTGCATATATATTATACCTCAATACAAAAGAGAATGAATACCTATGATGAGTTTATCACCTGGTTGGGAAGACAGGACACCTGAAATAATGGAAACTAAACAAGACATAGTTGAAACAAACCCAGTTACGTTGTCTCAGTTGCCTACTGCTGCTGTAACAGAAATATCACAAGTGGGTGACTTTAAAGAACGGACATGTATTTTCTCATGGTGCAGGAAGCTAGAACTCTGAGTTCAGAGCACTAGCTCTAGGAGAAGATTCTTTCTTTATTGGTTCTGGATCTTTGGAGATCTCCACATGCCTTCTATCCCTCTCACTGTCTACTCTCCCTCACCCATCTCCCACTTGTGTTTGTTTCTGTGCCTAATCTCTCCTTTTCATATCTCAAAAGTAATTTAGGCTTAACACACAGCATGCACTGATATGCCTCATCAACATAATACACAAAACCCTACTCTCAAATGCACAAGTATAGGGGTTAGGGTTACATGCACAGGCATATTGTTGTTGTGTTGTTAAGTACCATCAAGTTGTTTCTGACTTATAGTGACCCTGTATATGGCATTATGGGTTAATGTGATGGACTGAAAAGTCAGTTTGAGCCACAGGATCAGTGGTTCAAGCTCACCAGCCACTCCTCAGAAACCCTATACAGGGTCTCTATGAGTCAGAACTGACTCAACAGCAACATAGTGTTTTCAAGGGGCAACTGGTGGGTTTTAACTGCTGACCTGTGGCTTATGGTCCAGTGATGACTCTATAGTGCCACGCATACAAGGGTAGAGAGACTAGTATTTGCAACATATATATTTGGAGATATCTTCACCACTAAAAAATACCATGATAACTGGAGAGAAGATTGAAATTTTCAAAGACTTCATTTTGCTTGGATCCGCCATCAACACTTATAGAATCAGGGCAACGGTCAAGAAATCAAACATATTGCATTATACAAATTTTCTGCACAAGACCTCTTTAAAGTGTTCAAGAGCAATGATGTTAGTTTGAGAACTAAAGCGCACCTGACTTGAGCCATGGTATTTTCAATAGCTCATAATGCATGTGAAAATTGTATAATGAATAAGGAAGACCATAGAAGAATTGATGCATTTGAGTTATGTTGTTGGAGAAGAATATTAATAGTACCATGGACTGTCAGAAGAACAGACAAATCTGTGTTGGAAGAAGCACAGTCAGAATGCTCTTTAAAAGTCAGGAAGGTGAGACTTGGTGTTTCATACTTCAGACGTGGAATCAAGAGGGAGCAGTCCCTGGAGAATCATGTAATCATGCTTGGTAAAGTGGAGGGTCACCAAAAAAGAGAAAGACCCTCTAACGAGATGGGCTCACTTGCACAACGATGGGCTCAAGGTTGACAATGATCGTGAGAATGGCACAGGAATGGACAGTGTTTCATTCTGTTGTGTATAGGGTCACTGTGAGTCACAACCAACTCGATGGCACCTAACAGCAACAACAGCAATTCAATCCAAAACACTAAAAATCATGTGGTCCCAGGTGCCATCTACTCAAAGTTGAGTCTGATGGGTCAACCCTGCCATGGAGAGTTCTAGAAAGAGGAGCTACAGTGATGGATTGCAGAGATCACATACAGTAAGCAGGCCTACCCACAAAGGCTAACTGGAATTAGCATCACAGTAACTGCACAGATCAGGAAGGCTTTGGGGAGGACAGGATACCTGAGCCAGATCATCTAGAAGGCCAGGTAGAAATTAAATTGGTGAGCCCTAGGGGTCTAATAGAAGAGACACATGCCAACATGTGTCCACCCATATTCATTGCAGCACTATTCACAATAGCAAAAAAGGAAACAACCTAAATGGATAAACAAAATGTGGCACATATACACAATGGAATACTATGTAGCCAGAAAAAAAAATTAGTTCCTGAAACATCTTGTAACCTGGAGACATTATGCTTAGTGAAATAAGTCATTCATAAAGGGGAAAATAGTGTATGATCTCGCTTTTATGAAATGACAAGAAAAGGAATATATACAGAATGTTCATGTTGGAGGAGGTAGACAGAGGAGAGCTCATTATCTAGGTGGTGTTCTGACTCCTAGCAACGTTGTATAGAGTTTCCAAAGATCAGGTGATGGATTTGAACCACTGACCTTGTTGTTAGCAGTCTAGTGCTTATCCTATAGCACCACTCCAAGAGTCCATTATGTATGTTGATCCACTTTTGTTTAGGGTGATAGGAAGGGTAGCATTCAAGGTGGGTAAGTATGCACAACCTGACTAATGTAACTAATATCACAAACTGAATTTGCAAAATTGTACACAAGGAAAATGACATATTAGCAAATGTTACATGCAATTTTGCAATAACAGTAACCAAACATTATATATGTGTGTATGTGTGTATGCATGGGGTCCTGCAAGGACAGTTTGAATCACAAGGTCAGTGGTTCAAACTCACCAGCAGCTCCTTGGAAACCCTATACAGAGTCACTATGTGTCAGAACTGAGATGACAGCATTTAACAACAATACATATGCACACACACACGCATACACAAATATGGGTCATAGATGCAGATGTTACTTAGACATAAGCAGTCACCTCAAGGGATTGTTATTTTGGTTTGAACATATAAGGTTATAGTCTCATTAAACAGTTCAGTCAACTGGCATAATAATCCATAAAGTCCACGTTCTATATCCTAGGTGATGAGTAGTACCTGGGTTCTTAAAAGCATGTGAGTATCCATCTAAACTATAAATATTGATCTGTGTTGGTCTGGAAAGAAAGAGAAAGAAGGAAATCTAAGAATCAGAGAATGAATCGACTACAGGGCTAATGTTGTTGTTAGGAGCCAGTTCCAACTCATAGAGACACTATCTATGCACAACAGAAAAAAACACTGCCTGGTCCTGTGCCACCCTAACAATTATTTTACCTTTAACCCCATTGCTGCTGCCACTGTGCCAACTCACGTCATTAGTGTATTCCTCTTTTTTGTTGACCCTCCACTTTACCAAGCATGTTCCAGTCCTTTCTATGGACAGGAACATGTCCAAAGTATGAAAGACTAAGTCTCGCCATTATGGCTTCTAAGCAGTAATCTGGCTGTAATTCCTCCAGCACAGATTTATTTGATATTCTAACAGCCCACGGTATTTTTAATATTCTCCAACACCATAATTCAAATGTATCAAATCTTCTACGATCTTTCCTTATTCATTGTTTAACTTTCACATGTATATGAGGATATTGAAAATACTATGGCTTGGGTCAGGTGTCCCTTAGTCTTCAAATACTATGGCACACCTTAGTCCTCAAACTGATATTTTTGTTAAAGAGTTCTTGTTCAACAAATTTCCCTAATGCAAGACAGTCTTGAATTTCTTGACTGTTGCTTCCATAAGTGTTGATTGTGGATCCAAGTAAAATGAAGTCTTTGAAAACTTCACCTTTTCTTCATTCATTATGATGTTATTTATTGGTCTAGTTGTGAGGACTTCTGTTTTTTCTTTACATTGTGATGCAATCCATACTAAAGGCTGTAGTCTTTGATCTTCATCAGTAAGTATTTTAAGTCCTCTTCACTTTCAGAAAGTAAGGTGGTATCATCTGCATATCACTGTCATTCTTCATATAATCCAGTTTCTCAGATTATTTGCTCAGCATACAGACTGAATAAGTATGGCAAAAGGTTACCCTGGCGCACAGAGTTATAAATGTATTGACTTTAAACCATTCAG